CGCTCCATGCCCCGGCCGGCCACAGCGATAACAGAGATCACTGCGGTCGACCTGACTAGAGCACAAAGCCCTGCAGTGCCCAGGCTGAAAACACCTGTAGCACTGCAGGGGGCGGGGGTGGAGTGCACGCACCCTCGCCACCACTTAACCAACCGGCAATTTGCCTACTTTAATCGCCTTGGCCGCCGCCTCAGATGAGCAGCGAACCAAGGCGACTCCACCCGATGGCTGGGAGCGACGCAGGGATACAACCCTAACGCCGCTCCCGCCACCAAACTCTGCCTCAAACTCCTGGCGGAGATCGTCCTCTGTGGTAAACTCGTCCAATCCCGAAACTAGAATCTCCACGTTCCGGGATGGACGAGCCACTCTAACTCCTTCGAGGAGAACCTCTCTCAGCCTGGAGGCGAGGAGGTCCGCCTTGGATTTGCGGTCCTTCCCTCCCACTTCCAGTAAAAGATACCCCTCCAAGGTCCGTCGGACCCTGGAGACGCCCGCCAACCTAGGGTCTACCTTGCCCCTCGCGTCCCGAAGGACTTGGGCATACGACATGCCCTCACCCTCGAGACGCAAAGTGACCGCCTCGGTACGCGGGAGAACCCCGCGAGGCGGCCTTTGTTTTAACGAGGGCAAGGGCAACGGAGGGGAAGACTCCCCTCGAACGGCCCCAGCGGCCGTACCCCTGCCCATCGCAGGCGCCTTGGTGGCGTTAATCGCCTTCTTCTTCTTTTTTCTCTTCTTCTTTCTCTTCACCTTTTTCTCCGCCTGTGCCCTAATCGGAACAGGGGGAATCGGAGACCCACTAACAAGGGGGGGCTGCCTCGGGAGACCCCGCTCCAAAAGTTTTTGGAGCTTCCCCGAGACAGTGGATTGCACCACCCTCTCGATCTCTTCCAGCTAAGAAGGGAGAATCCGATTCCCTCCCCTGACTGGAGTGGAACACGTAGCTCCTTCCGGCCTCGGCATGGAGACGTCGGCAAAAGCACGCACCGACGTCTCCATGCTTTCGTGAAGCGTGTGAAGCGACCGAGAGGCCTCATTATGGACCTCCTCGATCGCCGCACGCGCCTCCACAACACTCTTCTTAATTTCCTTCAGGTCAGCGAAGGTAGAGATATTAACCTCATCAATATCCTCACTGACCTGGAGGATAGCTTCCGTAATTTGTCGCTCAGAGGCCACCTGCCCCCGAGCAACTTTTTCTACTACATCGGCCATGTTGGCGACACCCCTTTCGATGTTGTCAACAGACTCACGGAGAAGGGTGAATCGGGTTTGGAGCTCCAGGAGACTTGATATGATCTTTTCCCGGAGCTCCCTCGGCCTGCCCGCTTTCTTCTCCCTGGACATTTTGGAGCGACGACAAAGTCGCTCCCAAAGTTCGTCCCGGGAGTCAGCCACATGATCAAAAAGGGCGCCGATGACCATCGTAGCGAGGAAGCAATCGGCCGCCCCCGTACCCTCTTAAAGAGCCGACTCAAGACTTTTGTCGGCCTTCCTCTTATCGCGTGGCTTCTCTGTAGCGGCGGTAGCAGAATGTCCAGAGAGGCCCGCCGTCAACCCCTCTTTCTGCCTTTCGCTAGATGACGACGCGGCGGGAGCAGGGACAGTACTCCCACCGTGCCGGCCCCTGAGTGTCCGATCACTCTGGGGCGGTAAGTCCTTCTTCGTCTTGCTGTCTATCATATTATGTTTTTACTCATTTGGTTTTACATCGGTGTTTTCCTTCACCTAGATCGGTTGGTAAACAAAACCTAACGAGCCCGATCTGCCCGAGGGTTGGAGCGCTTTAAAGGCGGCACTCACTCGCCTTTGACGTGGATACTTCATCAGGTTTAATGGAGCACTTTATAGGCCGCTCCCTTCCCACAGGAGCGACCACCCCACCCTCAGTATCCACCGCTGTTTGTCCGCGACTGCTTATTCCCCCCGAAAGGGTTATTCGCAGCTAACCTCAGTACTTGAGGCCGTTCCCCTATCCGCAACCTGGGGACGCGCTCGGTGGCAGTCAGCTCTGCCCTTGGAAGGCCGGGGCTGTCTCCCTGACCCCCAAACCGAGAGTCACAACTAACCTAACCTAACCTAACCTACGTTAAAGCAAACGTGTTTTACTTTATTTGCTCGTTTTATGTCACATAAAAAAAACCATACTAGTCAGCATTGCACTAAAAGTGAAATAGTTCTTACATTAAGCAAATGCAAACTCTTTTAATAAGATTTTTACTTTTTCTTGTCTGGTTTAGAGAGAACAATCTTATTTCTCTGAAAGTATTTATATAAAATAAATCTTTTATTTTTACATTGATGATGAAGTCTATGTGTACATGAAAACAAAAACTTTGTTATACTTTACTTGAAATATATATAATACTTTGTTTATATCTGCTAAAAAATATGAGAATTACAAAATTTATTCATACTCCAATATTAAAACACAATTACCTATTACGTATACAATATATGTTGTGACGGGCACCTCGTTTTTGGATGTTATAACGGAGGCGCCGCACAACTTCGGCACGTCTTTTACACAAAACTACTAATTTTTTTCTACTCACCTAAATCAAAAGTTAAACGGCAGGCGTGAAAATCACGCCACTCACGACAAATCTTAATTGGCAGCAAAAATCCCGACAACAATTTCGACGGGACGGCAAGGTCACTCGGCAGCTCAATTTTATTTAAATAACGAAGAGGCATGGGTTTAGGAGGCGGTGTTCTCAAATAATGACAAAGAAACGTGTTCGCTTGGTTGTAAAATAAGAAAATATAATTTCAATAAAAACCGTTTACAATGATATCAAGTCTCGGCAATACAGAGCATCGGGTAACAATAAGAAAAAAACATAGAAGAAAATGGTACGTTTACCGATGCGTGAACGTGTTAATTACGCGTAATCGATAATTTACTCAACAGGCGTTATTTCCCTTAGTCATTTATTCGCGGTCGCGGTCTATACTCCACGATAAATAGCAAGGAGATAACCGTACGAGTTATCTCTGCAGAGGAATGCGCTGTCGCGTGGAAGACGCCCGGCGCGGCGCGAGGGCGCCGCGCGCTCTCAGTGTAACGCGAGCTCATAGACATAGTATATCTAGACCGAGCATACGGGAGTGGGGAGCGAGGTCTACGTAGAAAAGAACACACTCTGCTTGATGCTTTTCGTTCTTTTTCATTTGCGCATGCGCATATACAAAAAATTACAGTCTATAGTGGGGGTATAGAAAATAGAAGAAAACGATACGTGAAGAATGTTTCTGTTATTCCGTGTGATATTCTAATTTAATTGGAAATTGAAAGAGTACTACTTGAAACAATACTAAGAATCAACTATATTTTACATATTTTACGTTAGAAAACAATGGTTTATTGCTGTGTATGTGGGAAAAAATACAATTCTCTTTGTCCTCGACCATTTCACAGGTAATGTATAAAATAAGGTTAGAAGTAAGATTAGAATAGTCTTTCGTTAGTAATACAATATNGACCACCCCACCCTCAGTATCCACCGCTGTTTGTCCGCGACTGCTTATTCCCCCCGAAAGGGTTATTCGCAGCTAACCTCAGTACTTGAGGCCGTTCCCCTATCCGCAACCTGGGGACGCGCTCGGTGGCAGTCAGCTCTGCCCTTGGAAGGCCGGGGCTGTCTCCCTGACCCCCAAACCGAGAGTCACAACTAACCTAACCTAACCTAACCTACGTTAAAGCAAACGTGTTTTACTTTATTTGCTCGTTTTATGTCACATAAAAAAAACCATACTAGTCAGCATTGCACTAAAAGTGAAATAGTTCTTACATTAAGCAAATGCAAACTCTTTTAATAAGATTTTTACTTTTTCTTGTCTGGTTTAGAGAGAACAATCTTATTTCTCTGAAAGTATTTATATAAAATAAATCTTTTATTTTTACATTGATGATGAAGTCTATGTGTACATGAAAACAAAAACTTTGTTATACTTTACTTGAAATATATATAATACTTTGTTTATATCTGCTAAAAAATATGAGAATTACAAAATTTATTCATACTCCAATATTAAAACACAATTACCTATTACGTATACAATATATGTTGTGACGGGCACCTCGTTTTTGGATGTTATAACGGAGGCGCCGCACAACTTCGGCACGTCTTTTACACAAAACTACTAATTTTTTTCTACTCACCTAAATCAAAAGTTAAACGGCAGGCGTGAAAATCACGCCACTCACGACAAATCTTAATTGGCAGCAAAAATCCCGACAACAATTTCGACGGGACGGCAAGGTCACTCGGCAGCTCAATTTTATTTAAATAACGAAGAGGCATGGGTTTAGGAGGCGGTGTTCTCAAATAATGACAAAGAAACGTGTTCGCTTGGTTGTAAAATAAGAAAATATAATTTCAATAAAAACCGTTTACAATGATATCAAGTCTCGGCAATACAGAGCATCGGGTAACAATAAGAAAAAAACATAGAAGAAAATGGTACGTTTACCGATGCGTGAACGTGTTAATTACGCGTAATCGATAATTTACTCAACAGGCGTTATTTCCCTTAGTCATTTATTCGCGGTCGCGGTCTATACTCCACGATAAATAGCAAGGAGATAACCGTACGAGTTATCTCTGCAGAGGAATGCGCTGTCGCGTGGAAGACGCCCGGCGCGGCGCGAGGGCGCCGCGCGCTCTCAGTGTAACGCGAGCTCATAGACATAGTATATCTAGACCGAGCATACGGGAGTGGGGAGCGAGGTCTACGTAGAAAAGAACACACTCTGCTTGATGCTTTTCGTTCTTTTTCATTTGCGCATGCGCATATACAAAAAATTACAGTCTATAGTGGGGGTATAGAAAATAGAAGAAAACGATACGTGAAGAATGTTTCTGTTATTCCGTGTGATATTCTAATTTAATTGGAAATTGAAAGAGTACTACTTGAAACAATACTAAGAATCAACTATATTTTACATATTTTACGTTAGAAAACAATGGTTTATTGCTGTGTATGTGGGAAAAAATACAATTCTCTTTGTCCTCGACCATTTCACAGGTAATGTATAAAATAAGGTTAGAAGTAAGATTAGAATAGTCTTTCGTTAGTAATACAATATATTTTTAGGTTTCCAGCAGATGCTGAAAAACGACAAAAATGGTTTGATAATATTGGTTACACTGGTTACAGTATCAATAATTACAAGTATGCAAGAATCTGTAGTGATCATTTTACGCAGGATGACTATTACGATACTGGTACACCCAACAAAATCATAAGATTAAAGAAAACTGCAATTCCGTCTGTTTTTACACAAAGGTAAGAGTATTTTATAATAAAATGTAATTGCAATGTTTATAAATATATATATATACCTGTGATGTAAAAAAAATGTTTTTTAATATTTGCTGTACACACTTGCTTTTGTAGAGATGTGAAGAAAGATTCGATAATTCAAAATGCTAATCCACAAGATTTACAAAGCAACATTGAAAAAGACAATATAGTTTCCACCGAACCACTTGTCATGGAAAATGACACGAGTCGAAGAAAGTAAGATAAACAGAGTAAGAAAAGAGAGTAAGAAAAAAGAATATTAAATTTTATTTTAATTTGTAATCTCTTTTGTTTCAGGAAGAAATCTAATAATAAAATACAAAAAGTGTTTGTAAGAACTAAATACAATATAGAATGCATTAGGCAAACTGATTTTGTTAACAAAGAATCGTGGATAAAATTATTAAAATACATTAACTATAACAGATATGCACATAAACTTTATGTAGCAAAACAAACACGCTTAAAAATGAAAAGTTTAACAACGGGATCTGTAATAGAAAGTTTAAAAAGTAAAAATTTATTAAAAATTGATGCCGTCAATGCTTTAAAAGTGAGTAATTAATTATGCTATAAAATTGCTGATTTTTGTTTATTGGAACATTATTGAATAGAATACAGTCTGTTTAATGAAAGAAAAGTCTGCGGAGCGGACCATAATTTGTTTATTTCGCGCATATTTTTTATCAGGATAGCGATAATCGTCTCTCTACCCGTGTCACTCACTAGAAGTTCTACGAACAGTGGAGTGATAGGGCTTTTTGATAACAGATATGCGTGAAATAAACGAAAATTCGCTTGCTCTGCGGACCTTTCTCTCAATGAACAGAGTGTAGAATATTATTAGGATATTAGTTTTTCGTTCCTATCTTATCTTTTTAAATAGAATACTAATTATAAATGTAAATGTATAGAGATTTATATATTGTAAAAACGTTTTGTATAATACGAAATCTAATGAATAGAATTATTGTATCAATAACTACATTTAAATGTCACCATGAATCAGGTTTAATAACATCGGTAGTTATAATTGTACATTATAAAGTTTATAAAAAAATAGCTATTGGTCATATACGAAATAGTTAAGTTAATATTGTAGGATGTAATGCCTCCTGTCCAAAAATTATCAACAAGAATGTTAACTGATATGAAGACGGTAAAATTTCCACACAGATTAAGATGTTTTGCTTGCACATTACATTTTCATTCTCTTGCGGCATATTTATATGTAAGAAAAATGTTTTTAAAATGTCTGCCACATCCAAATACTCTTAGAATGTGGATGCGAAATATTCACAGTGACTCAGGTATATCTGAGCAAGCATTAAAAACCATATTGAATACAATTCAAAATAAAAAAACTAAGAAGATAGTGTTCCATTTAACTTTAGACGAAATGAGTATAAGAAAAAAAGTAGATTGGGATGGACAAAAATCACACAGTTTTGTTGATATCAATACTAACACTATTAATAATACGGTGCCATTAGCTAGTGAAGTTCTTGTTTTTATGATAGTTGCCGTAAATCACAATTTTAAACTTCTAATTGCATATTATTTTGTTAATAAATTAACAGGTAATGAAGAAGCAAATTTATTAAAGACTATCTTATGTACCTGTATAAAAAAAAACATTGATGTTGTTAGTATCACGTTTGATGGATCATCCACAAATATATCTATGTGCGAAAAATTGGGCGCACATTTGAACTCATTTAAAATTGATGAAATTGTGCCATATTTTGTTCATCCTGCTAATAAATTTAAACGTATTTGTATTTTTTATGATGCATGCCATATGATCAAACTTATCAGAAATACTTTGAAAACATATGATTTAAATGATAACGATCAGACTATTACTTGGAAATATATAGAAAAATTAGTTTTCCTACAAAAAGAAGAAAAGTTACATCTTGCAACTAAAGTAAGAAACAGACACGTACACTTTGAAAAAAAAAAAAATGAAAGTGTGTTTAGCTGTACAAGTGCTCAGTAATTCGGTATGTGATGCACTTATGTATTTAGAAAATGATCTTAAATTACCTGATTTTTCTACAGCTTCAGCAACCGCGTTGTTTTGCAAAATGTTTAATGACATGTTCGATGTATTAAATTCAAGAAATTTATATAATAAAATAGAAATGAAACGAGCAATAACAAAAGATAATATATTTATTCTAAAAGATAAAATTGAGAAGTTTATCTCATATATTACATCTCTTAAAATGAGTAACATTCCTGTATTTCAAAGCATTCAAAAAATAGGCTTTATAAAGTTTATTATCGATTTACAAAACAGTATTTCTTTAGCAGAAGAGCTTTTTAATGAAAACACAATAGAATTTTTACTTACTTATAAATTATCTCAAGACCATGTTGAGACTTTTTTGCTTTGATTAGAAGGATGAATGGTTGGAACAATAATCCAACCGCAAAATTATTTAAAACATCTTTCAGAAAAATATTGCATGTAGCAGATGTCTCGGTTCCTGTAAATGCTAACTGTATTCCACAAGACAACACTGTATTACTTAATACTACATTATCCGATGAGTTTGTGAAAAATGAACAAGAAATTAATAGTATACAAAAAGAANCAGATGTTGAGTCAAAAGATTTTGCAAATATTGTTTTTACAGATCATGATTATCTAAAACAAAATAATTGGTGCTTAAATGAATATGCTGAAAATGTGATTACATACATTTCTGGTTACGTAGCTAAAACTGTTTCTAAAAAAATTAATTGTTTCTTTTGTAAACAATTGCTCATTTCAAGCGAGATACAAAAAGAAATAGATACTTGCAAACTTCTACAGCAAAAAAATCGAAATAGTTTGTGTCAAGCATCATCAGATGTTATTGTGATATGTAAAATAGCAGAAAAAACAGGGTAAATGTACAGAAAAGGTCACCCCCCTCCGATTTCAATGAGCTTGACATATGTTGTCAAGGACACCTTCCTGAGTACCAATCCGTAAATTTTAGCCGTTGCTCGTTGTTAATAAAAAAGTTATGAACAATTGAAGTTTGAAAACTAAGTTTTTATTTTGCGACATTGTGTACAATTTTTTCTTCGTGATTCTTCGAATCTTTTTGTCGGTGTTGTAAACGTGTAGGCAGGGGGGCTGCGCCCCCCTGCACCTCCCCTACAATCTAACCTAACCCTAACCTAACCTAAACTTTTCTTTCTGCACTCCCCCTCGCAAAATTTTCACTCATATCTATTGATATTGTAGTAACACACAGGTTAGGTTAGGGTTAGGGTAGATGGTAGGGGGGGTGCAGGGGGGCGCAGCCCCCCCTGCCTACACGTTTACAACACCAACATAAAAAACATGAAAGAATTAGGATGTGATCCCATGCACTGTTATTTTTTGCGTAACGCGTAACGCGTAATCAGAGATTACGTGTTTAATATAAAACAATATTGAATATAAGAAAGAGTGAGAAATACATCATAACATTTGTTTCCGATCTCTACATACTTATTGACATTATACGTCTTTGTAAAGTAAATATTTAGTATGTACGATATTTTGAAGGCTACTTTTTCATTCTTTTTGTTCGTGTTATAAGCGTGTAAGCAGCAGCCTTAGTTTTCAACCTTCAATTGTTCATAATTTTTTTATTAACAACGAGCGACGGCTAAAATTTACGGATTGTTACTCAGGAAGGTGTCCTTGACAACATATGTCAAGCTCATTGAAATCGGAGGGGGGTGACCTTTTCTGTACATTTACCAATATCTTACAGTTTTTCCAGTTATTAAATATATATTAAAATGATAAAAAGTTGTAATTATTTTTATATTCTGTGCTTTCTTGTAAAACCATAATATTAAATATATGTATGTCTAAAATACTATGTATACAATGTTATGTATAAAATATTTGATTTATTTTTATGTAGTAGAATATGCTTTTTACAAATGTTTATATGTTTGTAAATGTTGCAAAAATATAATGAATATTAATCAATATTATGAAATTGTTACTCTCGTTTTTCTCTGCCTAGAGTGAGCATCCTCATTTAGTTCCGGAATGTATTTTTATCTACAATACATTTCGTTTGCTATTTTCTTCTCTTTCATTCACATATGCACATTTCGCTCTGCATATCGTTTTCTTCTAACCATTTTCTGTACCCCCACTAGACTGCAATTTTTCGTATATGCGCATGCGCGAATGAGAGAGAACGAAAAGCATCAAACAGAGTGTGTCCTTTTCTACGTAGACCTTACCCCCACTCCACAAATAAACGCGGATTGTTGCCCCTTGCTCGAGCTAGACAATAGCGAAACGCGCGGCCGCGATCCGACGGCTACAAATTCCGGTACGATTCGCGATTTTACTCTTTATATGTCGGAAGTTACAAACAGATGGTATTCCACGTAATAAGACATACTTGGTACGATTTATATGCTCGGTAACGCAATGACACAGACGCGGCATAAAGATAGAATATCATGCAAATACAGAAAAAAATAACAAGACGCGCACGAATAACGAGCGGGATTACGCCCGGATTGTTGTGACCGTGATACGGCGAGAGAGCAGCAAAAACGTAATCTTTCGGCAACAACCGATGTTACAAATTTAATTGTATAATGAACTAGTTAAACGCAAATACACGGACGGCATCGAGCTGACGGTACACGTGCAGACTCAATCCGCGACGGTATTATCTCCAAAAAAAACAAAAATATGCGAGAGAGATCGAGCAACTACTCACGTTCGCCGGCACCTTCTCCACGCAGCTTTCTCGATTCGCAAAAATCGGTCCAACAGCTCTACACTGCGTCCTTGCTCCGTTTCCCCTCGGGTTACCTTTCCGGCACTCACTCTCGGCACAGTCACACGCTATTTCGGGAGGCGAGGGACTCGCGTCTTTCACGGCACGCACAACAATGAAGTTGATTCCAGCGACAATTACTCTCGACGTCTTGCGCTATTCGCTGCGCCAGGTAACGAGCCAATCATATTCTTATTCTTGCGGCGCTGCGACTGACAGCGGCCACGAGCGTCTCGGCAACACATCGGCTCGGGCCTTTTGTTGGCCGTACTCGGCCCGTTCCGCGTCCATTGTCACGGAGATGAGCTT